TAGCATGATGGAGATTGTCTGCAAGATTCTGAGCACGTGCCAGATAATCATGCCATCCTCAAAAAGGGCAAATGAAAATCATGTCAAACATGTTAGCCTTCTGATATGTGGTCTATTGTGAATTCCTTCAGATATTTTTCATAGAATAAGTTTTTCTAAACAGTATTAGCCTTATCATGCAAGATGTCTCAATTAAGGAAAATACAAAGCATATTGAAATTGTACAGTTTCTTCTGCTAACGTCCAACTAATCTACAGCTGAAAGGGTTTAAACTAATCTTGTAGAGCAGAAGCATGTTAAAAATTGTTAGTGGTACTGAGTCCAGAATTTGACCCATGCTTTTCAAAACAGTTTGTAAAAGTAGTTTCACACAGTGCATGTCCAAATTTTTTTAAACTATGTATTGCATTTTATCTAACACTTGTAAGAATTTGTAACCAGAGACTATAGATCAGTTATATTTCTGCTTTCTTTGGATGGCTTAGCTGGAACAGAGAGAGCAAAAAACCAGCTTAGATGCCTAAAATATTTTCTTTCATTTGTATAACAAAGCTATATAAAAGTTCCAGCTGAAAGTGGGGTCCCACATTATTTGATATTGTGCAAAAGCACAGTGCAGTGTAAGAAGAGAGAGCACAAAGAGCATATGTGGTAAGATATCTGACCTGAGAAAGTCATATGAAGAGTTTGAGGAGGAAGGAGTAAGAATAACTACATTAAATTGATTTCGCTACTGTAAAAACTGTTTGGAGGTTTGCTTAAATTGTTATGATTTTGCTTTCCTTTCCAGGAGGAGGGGTGTGGGAAGCCTGATTTTAAGCTGAAGTCACCCAGAAGGGTTGCAGTCTTTCCAGATTCTTTTGCTTTATCTCAGGCGCTGTAATCCAGTGGTCTATGACAAGAGAAGAATTTCACTCAGTCACAGCCTAGAAATATCAAATGTTCCCTTGACAAACAACACTGAACTCTTTATTGACACAGTGAAGCATTCTTTTCATAAACAGACACTTGAGTTTCTCAGTATAATATCTGTAGTGTTGCACAGTGTAATATTTATATGCACAAAATGTGTAATTGAATACTTAGGACCGATTCAGAGCTGCTGTAGTGGATATGACTTCTCTGATGTCAAATGATTTGCACATGCCTGCATCACGGCTGAATGTGAGCTCTTAGCTTTTCGAAGTTCTGTTGCTGAAGATACTAAGGCAACTGTTTTGGAAGTTTGTTTCCTAATCGTATCACTCCTTTTCCACTAAGGATGTGGCTTTGATCAGTTATTCACTTACATGCCCTCAAACAGGTCTACACATTTAAAACCTTTCTTTGTTCAGTTAGTACCTAAGCCACAAATCTGCCGTATCAGCTTCTGCAGAAAGTGTGAGGGAAATGTTGGTTACAATTCCACACTCCTCCAAAACAAGAAGCAACATTAAGGAAAACAATCAGGATGTCTGAATTTTTTTATCTTCTAATAATGTTCTCAGTGTTAGAATATCTTCACGAGAAAGCCCTTTTCTGGTCATCCAATACCTCAGCTTTGTCTCAGTGTTTAACCAGCTGTAAAGGGCGTTTTATTGCCTTGTATATTCTTCTACCATATAACTTATCACTTAAGTAAATCACTTCAGATAGATGACTCTAAACTGAAGAGTTTTTTTTTTTTTAATTTAATTCAACTGTGGTCAGGGATTCACATAAACCAGTGCACTGAAAGCAAGCAGCAGTCTGTATTGCAGTGTTTGTAGGGTTTTCACACCCCATGAGTAATGTACCATCCTGTGTACTGTGCCGCAAAAGAGCAACTGGCTGCTGTACGCGAGGAGGCTGCTTGCTAGCTAACAGGCATGGCTTATTTGAACCTAGTTGCAGGATATAACATCTTTGCAGTCAATTACCGATTTTGCTCTTTAAAAAGGTCTAGATTCTTCATGATCCTGATTCAGCAGAACACTTCAATACACGTTCAAAGTTAAATACTTGTTTAAAGTTGTGTTTAAGAAAGACATGAAGTGTCATGCTTGAGGTTAAACAAGCACGTGCGTTCCCAAATCGGGACCTAACATGTAACGGTTCTTATAAGTTTCCAGGAATCTTGAATATCCTGAAATACTGACTTTGCAACTTCCCTAGCTAAGCATAATCTAGAATTCCAAAAACAAAATCAAGCCATATTACCATGAAGCATTCTGGAAAGTCTTCTAAAATCCATTTTCCAGTCATCAGTGATGCGTGTCTAGTCAGAGAAATTCTAGCAGAATGTTTATGTTTTGGTAACCTTAAAAAAAAAAAAAGAGATTATGCAAGCCTATTTTGCAGGAAACTGAGTTGAAAGGAACCAAATATTTGATAAAATTAATTCTTTTTTTGGAGATGGAGAAGCAGAAGAAAGAACAGTAACTGAATTGCTATCCACCTCCTGATTATAATATTCTTCAGAGTACAGTGTGGTATTTTGTGGCCTGCTTCTTTTGACTAAGTAAAGAAACGGATGTTAGGAGCACCAGAAGCCAAGTTTTTACTTTAGTATTTTATTTAATGTGTGTTGTTTTCCCCACATTTATTTCCTAATGTATAACATCCAGTTATTGTAATGTACTACTGATTATTATAGTGTTAGAAGGATGTTTTTGCTCCAGTTTAGCAAGCTAAAAGCAGAATCAAAGCTATTCTCTCATTGATTGTGGGTAATTTACACACATAACCACTATGTTGCTTGTGAAGTGGGCCTAAACATCTTACTATGATTTCTAAACATGACATTTTCTGTAGTAGTGTATTAGATCGTCATAGTTCGTTACTTCATCTTCTGTAATGATAGATTCTGGTCTTCTCTTATTCCCGCTGAAGACAGTGCAAAGCTCTAGCTGACTGCGGTGAGTATAGACTCAGGCCTCGAATAATTTTTAAGCAGAATTTCTTGCAAGTGATAAATTGATGAAGCATTCTATGAACGTGGACTGTTTCATTCTTCCTTTTATTTACTTACTCTGTTATATTAGAGAGAGAGCAAACTGAAATAAGTTTTCTGGTGTGGGAGACACCTTAATCATCATATTTGGTTTCAGTTGGAATTGGGCTGAAGAGGTATTTTAATTTATTCTGAACTGAACAAGACAGCCAAAACAACATTGGAGGAATGGAGAAGCACACTGTAGCTGAGAAAGCGATACTTTCTGCGTACAGAAGCTGCCTAAAACTGCCTGGCATTGGACTGCAGGTAACAGGCTGCAGACCAGGTGCAGTGCCTCCCTGCAGACCAGCTAGGACGCGCCTGGAGTCGGAGATCTTGGGGTTTGTCTCCAATTTCTACTCTCTAATTCTGCAGATCTGTCACGGCTAAGGTTCTGCAGCTTTACAGGTTCCCACGTTTTGGATCTCTTTGGGAAATTTCAGTTTTAGTTAGTGTAACGCTTGAAAGCCCCAGTAGTGCGGAATTGGAAGCAGTGAAATCCACACCCGCTGCAGCCGGTCGGAAACGCGCACAAAGTTCAGTGAGAGCCCTGCCCTTCCTTGATTTACCCCAAATGTCCATATGTTTCAGATGAAGCATTTGGGGTTCAGTGATGCAAAGCTTTTTTGATGAAGGCATTATCAGCAAAATGGTCAGCCCTTCCCAAATATGAGCAAACCTGAGCTGGGAGGCTGCATCAGTGAACTTCGGAAAAATTTGGACCACATGTGAACTCTGCCACTCATCAAATATAAATAATCCTATTCAGACCCTTACAGCTGTGCTGAAACAGAGCTTTTGAAAAGAGTGAACTTGGATCATGGTTTTATGGCTATCTCTAAAATATTTTATTGCTGTTTTATGACACCAGAGTGTAAATTATGGGGCTGTAAAAGCTTGCAGTGTGAAGGTTTTATCTTTTGCTTATGTACAAAACATAAATAGTATCCTTTTGTTTTTAGGATAAATATAAAAAATACAGCTTAGGAAGCAGAAGGCTTCCTTTGAACACCTTACTCAATTTTTTTTTTTTTTAAAGTGTGGGTACGTTTATATGTGTTGATGGTACATAATTCTCAGTCACTTGATATAGGGCAAACAGAAAAAAGGTGCGTAGGGAAAAAAATAAGTGTGTGTGTATGTATGTGTGTTGTGCATATGTAGATATCACTAGTACTGCTGTAGCACTCTTAAGGACTGCAGAGGAAATGTATTTTATTAGATGAACTGATACAGTGGAGAAAATACACATCCTTTGGGAGCATGAGTTCTTTTTTTGGGTTTGAAACAAACCTTATAAAATTTGTGTGTAAATACAATGAATTGGTTTATACTACATGTATAAACACACATGCATGCCTACACAAGTGCAGTTACATATGGGCAGCAACAGCAACAACATTAACTAATTTTTATTATCATTGCATGGCTCAGTTTTCCATTTTTGGGATATGAATGGTACAAAATGAAAATGTTTAGCCTCCTACTGCATTTTTACAGCTAACGTGAAACTGTGTAATTCAAGAAATGTATTATATTTTTGAGTCAATAGGATTAAAAATGTATTCCCATTGGTTATGATATCATCAGGATTCATCCGTAGTTTACCTCAGCTTTATCTCTTGGGTTTCGCATCCGGTACTCCTTCAGATTTTGCTCCGTTCCATGTTGAGATGACTCATCGTCATTTCCTTCTTCCACTATCTCATGTTGGGTGACCGTGGGGCAGAAAAATTGTTTTCCTATGCTCCTTTTAGTTAAGGTTCTTGTTCCAGTAGACTCATTCAGATAAATTATTTCATCAGCTTTGAAACAGTTATTTTATAGCTGTGAACCTCAGGTTATCCCTCTGCCCCCAACACTGTAAAGTGTCCTTTACAGTCTTTGAGAAAAATGTCATTTTATGCTGCTTGGAATGAAATTGAGGTGTTTGCGGTTCTCCTGTTGTCCAAGACTTGAAGGACTGGGGAGGGATGTATGAGGCTATAGTTGTGAAACGTGTCATTTTTAGCCATGTTAAGTGAACGTTGTTCTGATTTCTTACAGGTGGTCCTTTATTTTGCTATGAGATTCAGACTGATCACTTTGCCAGCTGTCAAGGCAAATGTTGCTGTGTAGACCTTAGTCTCAACGACACTTAGTTTCCTGGTGATGGGTGTCTTCAAAGGACTGGACAGAACAAACTTCCTACTGCATCTGCATTTTAGGTTCTCTGCTCTGTAAGTATGCTGTGCCGTCTGGCATTTCCAAGCTTGTTAACCAGGAATGTTTTGACTTAAGAGCATCTGGAAAATTTATAGTAATGGTTTTGATATGATTTGATACCTTTTAGGTGAATGAAACTTTGTATCTGGCTAAAATAAGCATGAAAGGTATTTTTATATTGATTTATTAGTCCCTATATTTGGCCAAATTTTCCATGATTGTTAGAGAAATCAGTATTTTTCTTGTAGTACATCACACACATGCTGTAAACAGCATGAAGACAATATTTGTTAGGTAGCATCTGATAAAATTCGTTGTCTTTCCACTATGTCCAACAGGAAAGGTTAGGAGATGTTTTAATTACCTTGAAGATAACGTTTCATAAGACTTATAAGGTGTCGAGAGGTGTCTCTGAACGTAGAGAGACAGGAATGTTTAAGCAGTGTTATGTGTATAGGTGTATATTTTCCAACTTTAAGAAAGATGTGTTTGCAACCTAACTGCACTAACTTTTGCTGAAATAAACATTTCTTGGGAAGAATTTAGCTGAATGGTTGTTTTTGGTCTGGCAAAGAGGAAACTGACTGAGTGACTGTCATTACCCTGATGCTGATTACTGGAATTGACCAGCTTAAGGGCAATTTTTTTTGTTTAAAAACAAAACTGGTCTTTCTGGGTCCGACGGTGATTTAGAGAGGGAGGAGCTCTAGACCACTTACCAAAAAGAAAAAAAAAAAGTCTCATAGGCAGAAGCGTTTCGTGAACCCCACATGATGTGGGATTTAGGGAATTAGCAGGATGATTCAGACATAACATCATGACATTTATTCCCGCTCCTGAGAATTTTCCTTAAGGACTGAAACTTGATTCCTGCACTTGGTCAAAACCAAATACCCCTTCCGCCCCACCTTTTCCCTTCTTTTTTTTTTTGACTGGAAAGTAAGAAATTCGAATGTAATAAACCTAACATTAAGCCTTGGCACACACTGTAGAGTCCAGCATAACCTCAGGATCAGAGAAGTGCTACGTTAGCAGGCATTTGCACCCCTCCTCCCCAGCAGCTCTTCACTGATATGTTGTTGGATCGCTCCTCCCTTTTCTTCCCCCTGCTCCATACTGAGACATATGCCAGCAGCTGAAAGCAAAGGCTAAAAGGTGGTTCAAAGTGTTCCCTTTCTATTTTTTATTAGAAAGTGGGACAGAAGGGAGAGAGCCCTGCCATGTGTATTGGAATACTAATACATATTTTATATATAATGTATTTCCTAGACCAAGAGCATTGATTGAACGCTCCCAGAGTATTCGAAAGTTATGATCTTACAGCCCTGCTGCTCTCTTGATGTAACTCTGGTTCTGTTTTCCCATATGGAGAGGAGAAAAAAAAAAGACCAAAAATACCCCTTATGGTATCAGCTGCAATGTCTGTCTTTCACATAGTAGAATGTGAAAATTTCCCAGGGTAGGCGCAGGGAATTAGTTCATGATTGACCGGTTTCATGTTCCTTTCCCCTTCATTGCTCCTTATCAAAAAAACAAGCGAAACAAGGAAAACCCAAAATATATCCTTTAGGCAGGAAATAAAGCAAAATTTTGGGAGGCTCAGTGCTTGTCCAGATTGCAGTTGAGTTTAAATGCACACATGTGCACATACTTTACTGCTTTCTCCCTCTTAGGAGTGCTTCCCTTTGTGCTCCTCTTCCTGATATGATTTATAGATTCCTTTGACATGATCTTTAACAGCTCTAAATTTATAGTGCGATTTTTTTTTTCCCTTGGCCGTTCTTCTTTAATACCTGCCAACTTTTTCGTTCATTTCCTTGGTCCCTCCTTTGCTCCTTGGATTGGAATACTCCCTTAGTGTGCTGTTGTATTTCCTGGTCCCTAGTTGCACCTAGTAATGCCATCTACCTGGGATTTTCTTGTTTTTCTTTTTTTTGGGTGTGGGGGAGTTATTTATTTATTTGTGGGGGAGGGGCACGTTATTCTTTTTCTGGGCCTCCTTGCCAAATTTGGAACAATTCTGGTGAACCTGTCTATAACCTCTGTCTCTCCTGCATCTTATTTTATAGAGTCTCTGTGGACTTCTTTTAAAATTCATCAGAGTTCATTTGATTGATTGTTTCAAGTCTCCCTGCTGTTCTGATCCTATCTCACAGCTGCTTTTCATACTGTTTCTTCAGTTTTTGGATAATCACTAATGCTCCCTTCCAGACAGAGTAAATATACAAAATACCTAGTAGAGTTTCCCTTTGGCTGGCACAGCTCTAGACAGTTAGATCCACAGCTGCATTATTTGTAGTATTTTAAAGCCAAATCCAATTCGATAGGATGATCAGACTGGCTGCCTGCAATATGTTGTCTTTCACCTCATTCCTGATTCGCATTTTATTACAGCAGATGCTGCCAACATCCTTGTCTCTTATGCACTTCTATAGTTCTGTGTCTCTCCTCCCTTTCCTCTAGTTGATGTTTCACCAGTGTTTGGGCTGTTAAAGTCCTGTTTAAATCCATATCCAGTTTTGTTTTCATTACACAGAGTTGGCAACTCTGCCCAGTGGTTCCTTTCCATTCTCCACCTTCCTTTTGTTTTCTGTCTTAAATATATTCAAGGGGGAAACAGGAGGAGGGATGGAAAAGGAAGGGTTCGGTCTAGACTTCCAAAGCAATTTCCCTTTCCCTAAAGAGCACAGCTCATTTCCCAGCTGTAGCGCTTTGGAAGGAAGTTGCTCATTTCTTCTTAGCGCTGGCTTTCCTGAAATTTGTTGAGTCAAAGCGCAGCTACTAGGAGACGTCCAGAGGACCGTAAACACGAATGTACGACTGTTCTTCCCTTCCTTGCTTCTGAGGAGAAGAATAAGCAGAGGTTAATGCGGAAAGGAGAGGGCGATCCAGATAAGCAGCCACAGGTTTGCAATATTGAAAGAAAAGAGACAAAAAGTTGTCCTTGGTATTATTCATGCACATACCTGTACCTGGGTTTTCCTGCATCATGGGGCCTCAAAGGGCTTATTTTTGAAACAAATGTCTTAGGGACAGAAAACCGACAAACGTGGAGGATCATTACTTGTCTAAACGTTAATTACTAGGTTTGTCTTTGCAAAAATGAGTTAGTTTGTCTGTAACTTCAATTTTTCATAATATTACATTCAGCCAAAGACAGAAGAGATTTTTTTCTTCAAAATGCATGTGTATTTCCTAAACAACTGTTCATGAGTAGTTTCCCACCACTCCTTTTAATACCCATGCATCCACTCTTACCAAGTTTCTGTGATTGCTTTACATCGAACTAATAAATTACTTTAAGTCAAATTAGAAACAGGCTGTAAAGAGTAGCATAGATTTGACTGAGCAAATTTCCTTGTGTGGTTTAGAGATACTCTCTGCTTAGATTTTTTTAGGTGAGTTAAACCCATTCTAACTGGAAGGGAAACACTTCAAAATTATCACCTCATCATGATTTTTTTTTTTAACCTGTCAGCTCCGTGGTGTTTCTACTTTATTTATTTAGTTGCTCCCACGTGTCTTTGCTTGGTACTTCAGAGATGAGACTTCTTCTGTGTTAAGAATGTTGGGAAACTTGGACAGGAAGATAAACTGCAATCTGATTAGGTGCTCATTTAAAATAATTGTTTCATCCATTCAGTTTGGGTTTTGCTTAGCAAGACAAGATTGTGGTGCATATTGTCATGACACCTGTAATTGTAGTTCAGTGCCTGAATAATTGATTACTATTTCTGAGTCTGAAGAAGCCAATAACTGATTTTATGTGTTACTTGTCAGAAATACGCAATAGAAACATTAGAGTCATAGCTCAAAACTTCTCGGATATTACAGCTGCACAGGACTTTTATCTTGCACCACACGTTTCAGGTTTGAAATAAGTTTGTGTGGTGGTGGTGGTGGTGGTTTTTTTAGTGGATGAATAGACCAAGATATTGCCTTTTCATTTAGTCTCAAAAATGGAAGTTCTACAAACCTCATATGCAGAGGAGCTGTAAAAGATCTGCTTTCCAAACTCCTCGGTGTGAATTCCCAACTACAGAAAACCTTTCTGCTATTAGGTACAAACACATCATACTGCATGTCTGCTCTTCTCCACCTCAATGTTATTTTTTCTTGTGAACAAAAACACTAAAATTGCAAAGAGGTTTTGTATGGGTAGGCATGCTGATGGGGAGTAGTTACTACATTGACATTGATCATTGTTCCCACCCTTCCAGTGGATAATGCCAAACCATTGGAGCCCTCAAAAATTGGGAGTTGGTATCTAGTGTAGGAAATTTTGAAAAGGAGAGCCAGAAGACATTACGGTATATTTTGTTATCCTAGCTGTCTCTCTGGGTGACACTCTTATGGACCCCATGCTGCAGATTATAGATTTCTGGTCAGGGTGGGAGATGCTTCCTCTCACTTACTGCCAAATTGCAGGAGGCTGAATTGGTACTTCTGCCTCATCCAGATGTACCTCTGGAGTGAACAGAAGTGGAGCTGGTAGTGAAGGTGCTTGATTCAGTTACAACCTTATTATAATCTATCTGGATGTGTTCAACAGCTTGGCTTGGATGTTCAACAGTTGAGGCTGGTTGGGAGAATCTCTGCTGTGTTAAAAAGTGTACTGGCAGTGCCAGATAATCCAGATGAAATGGAGGTGAAACTTTTCATTGTGTTTTTCCGATCATGCACTGCAATGCTTGGGGAGTCGGAGGAGCTGACTTTTCTGACATGAATAGAGTTTTTGAGTGTTTTTGGGCAAGTTACTGCTCAATCTTGCAGGAAGCAGGGCAGTTCCAAACTAAAACTGGTTGTATGGAAAGTCAGGATTTGAAGCAATGCTATGCTAAGTGCTGAATTAGGTGGCTCAAAATACATGGAGGGATACATGGAAATTAAAAGAAAAAAAAATATTTAGTTTTGTGGCCCATCACCTGGTAGGAGTCCAGAGGTCAAGCTGTATTCCAGGATATGTCAATGCTGTGTTGTACGGCCTTGGATAATTAACTGCATTTCAGAATTT